AAGATGCCAGAAGCCCAACAGTTTCACTTGAGGGTTTGATGTTATCCATGTGTGTCGATGCATCCGAGGATAGGGATGTGATGTCCCTGGATGTTCCCAATGCGTTCATCCAAACCCCAATGCCAAAGTCAAACAAGGCGAAGACATGGTCCTCATGATCATTGAGGGAACCCTTGCAGACTTACTTGTCGAAATTGATCCTGACACTTATGCCTCTTTCCTAACATACAAAAAGGGACGACCAGTCCTCTATGTCATTGTGGAAAGAGCCATCTACGGAATGGTTTTGGCAGCACTGCTATGGTACAAGCTCTTCAGGAGCGACCTGGAGGGAATCGGATTCGTATTCAACCAGTATGATCCGTGTGTTGCCAACAGGATGATTGAAGGATACCAGCAGACGATACGCTTCCATGTTGACGATTTGATGTCAAGCCACAGAATGAAGTTGGTGAATGACCAGACTTTGGAATGGTTCAATGACAGGTATGGAACCTATGGAGCCGTCAAGGCAACCCGTGGTCCCAAGCATGACTACTTGGGGATGACAGTGGATTTTTCCGACCCAGGAAAGGTTGTGATTGACATGATAGACTATGTCAAGAAAATGGTCTCAGAGTTTCCAGTGGACTTTGGGGCAATGAAAAAGGTACCAAGTGCAGCTCCTGCTGACCTTTTCAGCTCTGGTGATGGAACCACCCTGAATGACAAAAACAGGGAGACTTATCATACCTTTGCAGCCAAGCTGTTGTTTCTGTGCAAGCGTGCTCGACCAGATGTGCAGACTCTCACTACTGTGTTATGCACTCGTGTCAGAAGCCCAACATCTGATGATTGGGACAAGTTGGTCCAAGGCCTCAAGTTTTTGGATCAGACGGCGCAGGACAAGTTGATCCTACACATTGATGACATACGCATCATCACTTGGTGGGTGGATGCATCATTTGCAGTCCATCCTGATTACCGTTCCCATACAGGAGGAGTCATGTCCTTTGGAAGTGGCGCGGTGCTGTCTGTGTCTGCGAAACAGAAATTGAATTCGAGGAGCAGCACGGAAGCGGAATTGATTGGAGCTGACGATGTCATGTCGCCCATGTTGTGGGCAAAGTTGTTCCTTGAAGAGCAGGGGATCATTGTGAAGGACAACATCCTCATGCAGGACAACAAAAGCACGATCATCCTTGCAGAGAATGGCAAAGGCAGTTCGGGCAAAAGGACTCGGGCCATCAACATTCGTTTCTTTTTCATTCATGATCAGATTGGAAAAGGAAACCTCAGAGTTGTGTACTGCCCAACCTTGGAGATGCGTGGAGACTTTTTCACGAAGCCCCTTCAGGGCAAGCTCTTCCATGAGCACAGGGCTTTCATCATGGGGCATCCACCCCTTGTTTGATTTCCTAAATTATTTATTCGTTCCACGGTAGCCACTTAGGGCACCGTGCAGGAGTGTGTTGGAGGAAATATACCTGACACCTCTTTACTATTGACTCGTGTATTAATCATCTAGTCCGGTTCGCATGCAAATTCATCATGCAAGGAACCAAGGGAGCTTTAGGTCTAAAGTGTTACGGGGGTCCTTATATCCAATTCAATCACAAGAATTGCTATGCACCACCAGAAAATCCTCACTTTTGCTTTTAAAACCAAATTACTCCCCAATAAGCTGCAGTATTACTAGCAAACAACACTTGGTGCTGACCCTACCATCCAGGAATCTCATTTATACATATGAAAAGTTAGTTCAACTTTCCCCTTCATGCCAGACACCCTCAGGTACTCTACAAAGCCCAAACAGCATGTTTTACTCGCCAATATCACACCATTTTGCAAGCCCCGTTATCTAGATTGTTCGTTTAGCTAAGGTGTGGTTGACTAGGGTAAGTACGATATGGGGCGGAAGCAAACAACACGAAAGTCTTGTGCTGCATGTTCAGACCCTCGAGGTAACCACTTGTAATTGGTTACTAACCAGTGGTTACCGGTTACTAACCTATAAAGTAACCAATATTAGTGGTTACTCAACCGGTAATCGGTAACCGGTACCCTAGAATAACTGGTTACTCAACCGGTAACCGGTAACCGGTAACCGGTGCCCAACCAATCGGTTAGCGAAGCCTGCTTGGCACCATGCAACAGGTGACCAGTGCAGGACCGAAGTTTGCTCGTAGGAATTAGAGAACAACACTCCTTTAAATCTCATCAGCGAGACCGAGCCCCGAGACTCCGAGGGGATCCGATGTTCAAAACCGAAATGACCGCTGGAAGTGGCACAAAACTTTGGCGCCATTGGATCTCCCACCGTCGCTTGGAGCCATCTCCCTCCATGACCTTCACAGAGGACGCCTCTTCATCTAGCTACACTGGATCTATCTACATGCAGGAACTAGTACCCTGATACCTCGGCAAGGCACTATAAGCATTATCAGCAACAATCAAAATGGAGAGACAGAGCTCCAATTTATCTCCCAAACCGTCCAGAAGTCCTGGGAGTTTTTCACATCCAGGTAGTGTCCCCACGAGTCCAATAGCAAGACGGCGAAAGTCTAATAACAAGAGTGGTGCTGCAATATTTGTCTTCCTGCGAGCCTTGAGCATTTTGGGCCCTCTTGGATTTTTGGGCAACATTGTCTACTTTCAGTTTTATTTCCCTTACAATGACCAAGAAGGAAACTCAGAACTAGTCCACGGCTTTTCCATTAGTTTCAAAGGGGGTTTGCAGCGTGTCCACAGTTATATTGACCCTCATGGCAGAAAGATGACTGGGAGGGATGATATAACCGATGATTTTACCGAAAATAACAACAATCTTCCGGAAGTGCTATCTGGAACCGCTGTATTACACCGCCTCCAAAAACAGGCAGCATTTAGTTGGAAAGAGTGTGGGTCTTCCTCCAGAGCCACAGTGGCCCTGGCCAAGCAGTTGTCTGGCAACCAAGGACAGTTACGAGCTACTTCTGAGACGTTATTGGAACCATTTGAGCTAAAAGATACCCTTCTCCAACTGCAAACAGGGAAAAGACGAAGGCTGCAAGAAGCCAATAACACTTCGTCGTCAAATGGCGGCATCGAGCAGTGTCAGGTACCTCAGCCAGGCAGTCTGGAATGTCAGGAATCCACCTACGCCATGATTGTAACCTTTCAAGGAGAGTGCAATTTTCGACAGTTGTTCATGAATTTGCTGGCCTTTCTTACGTTCCCATCTGTCTCTGACATTATCGTGCTCATGCCACACGATGATTGGGGGTTTGAAGAACATTCTACCGTGGATGTCAAATACAAAGAACGACTCAAAGCATGGCACAACGACAAGCAGCACAAAGTGTGGATGATTGGGTTGCCCCAAACTTTGACAGATGAAGGAAAATACAGTTTTGACTTCATTGTACACAAGGTCATGGTTCGACTTGGATCTGCCAAAGCGATACTCTTCATGGATGGAAGTACTCTGTGGAATGGAAACCTTCGAGGAATCCATGCTGGCTTTGAATTGTGGAAACAGCATCCACATGCCCTTGTGGCAGCGGCAGCAGCACCATCCAAGCAAGAAGATTGTCCTCAGGGGTCGTCATCCTCGTCCTGGGCAGCCTTTTGTCAATCATCATCATCTCCCATTCCCAATGAAATGAACAAGCTACATCACCAGTATCAAAATGTCCTGGACATGAATGGTGTTTTCGTTCATCGAGACCTGCTGTGTCTCCTGCGACAACCCCCACTATCCACAATTCTCATTCAATCTGTTTGGCGGGTCTTGGATGATTATCGCAGTGACCAGTCCACATCTGCCTACATTCGAGCCATTATGGCCACAACACTGCTGCAGCTATCGGGACCGAAACCACCACTGTTGTTCCCGCCGCGCATTGCACGGCCCAAAAATGAAACCAAGGATTACAACGACTATTGGCATTACATGGCACCACTCAAAGAGAGAGAATGGTTGGAGGCTCTTCGTGCCAACAATACACAGACACAAGACCAAGTGTTGGTAGAATTGTTGGGGTACTTTGGGACGGGACTGAGCACAACAATAGGACATCATCATGCACCGTACTGGTGCAGCAGTGGCCAAACAGAAAAGGGTGTATATTTCATGTCGGACATGGCATGGATTGGACCCAACAGCAGATGTTGATTGCACAATTATTATAAATAGTACGGCGATATGTCACCAATTGAGGCAACGTTTGCAAAAGCATGTACTTGCTAGCTAGCTAGCTAGTCTTCCAACAAGAGAACACGCTATCAAACGAGTCAACTGATGAACGTTTCCAACCCGAGTACAACATTAGTTTGCTTGATTAATTCCCTAAAGACACGAGTGGCAGTGGACCCCCTGTTTCGACTGCCTTCGTCGTCGCGAGGCTCACAGCACACGAAAGCGCTCAATGGGTTTCATCCACTCATCAATCATGGTTTTGGCAAAATGTTGCGGTTCCGTCTTTCCCGTCCCATAAAAATTGTTGATGTCCTCGATTATGAATCTGAAATGAAGCGGAATCGACGGGTCGGGGATGACCACTTGAAGTGAAACCTTCGGACCTTGCCGTTTGACCTCGAGCGTCACATCCACTCGACTTGACAAAATCGTGATTCGGGACTTGTCATCTTGCAACCAATGCTGATGATTATCTCGTCGTTGCAGCAGTTCTTCGTTGGTCATAGTATTCCCAGCCATTGTACTCGGAAGATCTAGTTGCATCACGAGAGTGTCATCGTTTGGACGCGAGTTTGACTCCAAGAACAAATCAAGTACACCATCGCGACTCTGGACAGTGCGCCGAACGGTACCTCCCGATAATACGATTGTGTTTTGTTGTTGTTCGTCATTGCACACCTCGTCGCCATCGACGACATCACCGTGCTGGCCCCACGATTCCACAAAGGGTCGACTCAAAAGACCGGACGGCCGAAAGCACGCGGATCGTGAAATGCGCGCGTTGCGAATCTGCTGCGCCGCCGGATCCCATCCGAGTCCGTACGTTTTGGCAAATGCCCATTTGCAGATGCGACAGGTACTGTGCGTGCGTGTAAAATTGTATTTCGCCAGGAACGACTGTGGCAGAGGTTGTTTTCTCCATGCGTGATAGGATTCGTACAACTCTTTGCTTTTGGAAACCTTTTTCAGATACTGGCCCAGTTCTTTTGGCGTCTTGAAATCTTTGACATTAATAATGGAATGCGGCGGGACATGCTCTTGAATATTGTCGCCTCCCAGATAGACGGGGACCACTCCCGCGGCCAATGCTCCCCAGAGTTTTTCGGTAATGTAATCATTTTCATTTTGATTCTCAAACGCTAGATAAAACAAGTATTTGCGCAAGAGCTCTTGTTTGTTTTTGGCATCCTTGGGCCATTTGGCGTTGGGTCCACATTGACCCATCGAGTCGACGCGAATGTATCGCACATGTGCCGGTCGATTCATGAGTTCTTTGACGAACAGTTCGCGATGGTTGTGACTGGCACAGTTGCTGGCGAGCCATACGGCTCCCTTGATAGCCTTGTCAAAGTGAACGGGTTCGAGTGCTTGTAGTGGATAGTCTCCAAAAGTAAAATAGGGCAAGGGAATCTCGGATTGAAAGGATGTGGTGGCATAGAACTTTTGTTCGAGGTGTGCTGTTTCGTTGATGCGCAACGCCCGGTAGTATTGCGGCCCTTCCATGGAGAATACAATGGTCCAATTGGTTCCAGCAATGGTTTTCGTCCGAAGGACTTTATCGTCTTTGGGACTAGTGGCATGACAAGGAATGTTGCAATCGGGAACGGGCTGAGGTTCTTCTTGTGGTGGATTATTGCTGCTGTCTTTGTCGCCTTGTAATTTTTCCAAAATTGTCGTGGGGGGTAATTGGGAACTGGTGGCACCGGAGGGGTTATTGACAGGGTACACTCTCGTCTGCTGCACTAGGCCAAAGACGGGATGCGAATCCAACAAACAGTTTGTCATGGTATTGTCCGGACCATGACTAACCAGTAAGGTGATACTGTTGGCATCCATGACATGACCACACACGGTTCGTGGCAGGTGGAACGGATTGTACAGTAAGATCTTGGTACCATTGTTCTTGGCATCCGCCAGGAATTGTCTCGGACAGGAGGGATCATGATACTTTTGGCGGGTTGTGGTGGTTGTGTTGGAGTTGCCTTGAGTATTCGTACCGGTAGTAGTAGTAGTGATTCTTTGACAGGATACGAGACCTGGAAAATCGCGTTTCCCAATGGTTTCCATGGATTGGAGCTCTCGACCGTGTGGTGTTTGTTGGTCCACAGCAGTTTTGTCTTCCCCAGGTCTCGTTCGAATCACGTTGACGGCTCGATGTGCGTCGCTGCTGGCTACAGATTCGTCTGATTCATTCAGAAACTGCAGGAAGCGATTGTTGTTGAAGACACACAAGCTGCATGCCAGAACCAGACATACTCTGGCAATTCCTGGAACGAACTTGATCATTTCAGAGACTGCCATTTCTCTTTCAACCTCGCATAGGGTAGCTCGTATAACTTGATTCTCTTGCTATACATGTAGTCCCCAGCTGATAATGATGAGTTTGATAGGCACCCATCTCAGCCAAAAATAATGAACCGCGGATCCGCGGATCCGTGGATGGAGAATTGGGATACAGTATTGGGATATTGGGATCTTTCAGAGGCCAGAAGCAGAAGAGCACCCCGCAATAATTGCAGTCATAAATGAAAGAACGGGTCATCACACGAATGAATGAGAAGACACTTTTCGTATACAAACCTTGATTTGGTTGGCACAAGAGTCCTAAGCGTTAATCAAATAGTGTCTTCGAGAGACGACTCAATGTCACTTCAACAACAAGAAGATTTACTCACTTTTTCTCACCAAATCAAGTCAAAGCAACGGACAATCGCCAATAATGGGGACGCACTGAACTAGCCATGAACCAGTTGAATGAGAGACTGGTTGGATTGGGGACGACCAAGATACGACGGAGTCTCGTGCTATTCACTTGGATAAAAAGCCAAAGAAATCCATGGCAACTCAGCAAGTTCCTTCTACCTTGTTGTTGTAGTCTCTCTTGAGTGTTTTGAAAGTACACACAGAGTTAGAGATTGGGGTTGTCCTGACGGTTGTAGGTAGTGCCATTCCAAAGTGGCTATTAGTCGGCTAATAATAGCACCATGTCACCAGGCAAAGATAATGAAAGGCGAGCAAGAGAACATTCGCTGCCAAAGATGGTTTCTACCAGGAAACGAGGGCCCACACTCAAGCATTACCCTCGTCAACCGAACCAACCGCATCTCCGTGTCGCGTTCCAAGTAGACGAGAATCGAAACATTGAGCCATTGATTGCCGTAGCCGCGGCTCCTTCCATCAATGCAGCATCGGAAGAAATTCGACGGGATCTCTGGTGGAGCAAAAAGGAACTCAAGGAAATCTGGAAGCGAGAAAATGGATTGTGCGACTTTTACCGGTCCAGCTTGGACGACTATAGCGAACAGGTTCGACAAATCTTTGCACGATGTCGCAACAGCAGCAGTTGTACCAGTGCCACCGAACAAGACGCGCATCTGCTGGCGGTCCGGTCTTCCAATCGCGGTTTGGAGCATCGTGTCGTCAAACACTTTCATTTTCATCGTCAAAAGGTACTCGAGGGCGTACTCGATCAACAAACCAAAGTGGCCCACTTGCCGAGTCACACACAACAAAAGCAACAAATGATACGTTCCAAGTCCATGTTCTTGTCGCAGCCAGCACAGCAATTCGCTTTGGTCATGGCCCACGCCGATGCCATTACGGCACAATCGGTACTGGAAGAAGAAACCCACCGAGACAAGGTCACTCTCTTGGAGGCGTGTGGTCTTTCGGAATCGTTCCGTCTCACGGAAAATATTGGCTGGGGCGATACCAAAAACATCAAGGCTTGCCAATCTGACGTGACAGAAGATTCCATTCAGCCAGTGAAAGATGATATGACCAACTGTGCTGCGAGCACTAGTGACACGGAACAATCCTCCACGCAGAGCTCGGTCCAGTCCACAACGGACGACGACGACGACGACAAGTCGGGTACCCCCACGGAGCCCAACCGAGAGTTCTTTGCGTCGTCCAAAGACCACGAAGAATACAAAGAGATTGCGGCGGAAGCACAGGCTTTCTTGGATCGATACGAAGAGCTCAAGAAAAAGGTGGAAGGGTTCAAAAGTGCTGTCGTACAACCCCCCAACCAATCATCAGAAGACAGTAACCATACAGAATCCGTAGACACCAACTCAACCCACAATGCAGAAGACGCGTACAGCTCTCATTCAGAGCGGTCGGACAATGGCAGTGTTGCTGTTGTGGAGGACAAGAAGTCAGTCCGCGGGATGAATGGTAGTCCTCAACAATCTGCAACCAACAGCAAGAAACGGGACGTCCACTCCATACCATTACAGCAGACAAAGGACTCACTCAACCGTCGTGGCGAGAACTCGAAAGGTGATCGTGACGTCAAAACTTCAGAAGCAAACTGCAGCAAAAGGACACACGATACACGAACCGGTAGCTTCCGCGACAGGAAACCGGCATCTGCGCTGGACCTGCGAGTGGTGCAATCCAAGTCCACACTGAGTGGTATGGATGAAACGCCTAGTTTTTGCAAGATACAATCAGCGACCAGTTCTGGCAGGGAATCTTTGGACGCAATGTCTGTGGAGCAGGAAAGGAAAACAGATTGTTCTCGTTCACAACAATCAGCGACGGGCAGTGCAACAGGCTCATCTGACGCCTCCTCGATCCAGCAGATGAAGGAGTCCATCCAACGGTTGAAGGAAGCTCGCACTATGCGTTCCTACCAGTCAGTGTCATCGGAAACCAAGTCTTTCCAGAGTGTGAAGCGCACGACCAGCTCTCGTTCCAGGAAATCAGTGTCAAGCAGCACTGGTATGGAGTCCAAAGAAAGCAACTCCATCCAGGGTGTCAAGTATACACCTAGCCACCAGTCCAGGCGTTCATCCGCTGATTGTGACATGACGTATTCGAATTCATCTGAAAACGACTCCATCCAAAAGGTCAATCGCACACTTAGTGCTTGCACGGAAGGATCCAGCTCTATCCAGGGAGTGAAGTATACACCAAGCTCTCGGTCCAAGCAATCAACGGCTGGAAGTGACATGGAATACTCATCAGAGAGCAACTCCACACAAAGGGTGAAGAGCACACGTTCTCGACAATCTGTAACAGGTATTGGTGCACTATCCTCTGAATCAGGAACCAACTCTATCCAAGGGTTGAAGTATATGCCTAGCTCTCGGTCCAAGCAATCTGGAGCTGGAAGCAACATGGACTACTCGGCAGAATCCAACTCCATCCCGAGTGCAAGACATGCACCAAGCTCTCGTTCGAGACGATCTACCGGCGGCATTGGCATGGAGTATTCATCCGAATCCGGTAGCAGCTCCCTGCAGAGGGTGAAACAAGCTCCTAGCGCTCGTTCTAGACAATCCTTGGGTGGCAATGAGTATCCCTCGGAGCCTGGTTACACCAAGCGGGTAAAGCGCACACCGAGTGCTCGTTCGAGGAAATCAGTGACATTTGATATGGAACCAGCAGCATCCCAAACCAAGCGCACCGAAAGGCCCAAACATGCACCTACTATTAGCCCGTCTTCTTCCCAACAAGCACTACTACCCTTTACCGACCTCGACATGGACATTTTGGAAGTAAGCTCGACCCTGACGAGCATGACACCGTGCTATAATAATCATCTCATTTCATCCGAAGTGATCCGCATCAAGCCTTCCGAAGACGATTCACTCCAATGGATGAAGGAGTCTTTGCAACGAATGAAGACTCGCAAAAGCTCCCGTCGTCGTTGGACAACGAGTGATCTAGTGTCGCCGTCGGCGGAACAACAATCCGATAATAATCAGCGCATGAAGGAGACTCGTGCATTCATCCAGCACATGAAGGCTACCCGCAACGATCGTGCCGGATTTGACTTGGAATCCTTGGACGCAAACTCCACCAAGGTTCACATCAACCAGGATCTCCACTGCTGTTGAATAAATGAATGAATGAACTTACTTGTACTTGTTTGGTACTATTATTATTGGTTTGTTTGGCATTGTGTTTTTATCTGTGGTGTTGTCTTGGCAAGAAAAGGGGCTCTGTAAACATAGGAATAACGATACTAGTGTTTAGCTTGTTATACTGATACTACTGTACTGTCTGATTCGATTCATGACGTTGTTGTTGTTGTTGTTGTTGTTGTTGTTGTTGTTGTTTGAAACACCCACAAAACAGCTCCCGCTTCCTTCATTTCCCCCAGTGCTTCGCGCAGAGCTTTATTGTCCCGTTCTGCTGGTTTGGATGATGATGATGTTATCAACTGATTGTTGTTGTATTGTGCCAGTATATCGGCTGGCCTCGTGGTTTGAATCAGATTGAATCCGCTGAGTGAAGCCTCTTGTACAATGTGTGCCTCCAATGCCGCTGCTCGGTGGCTGCTGCTGTTGTTATCTTGTGTATTGTTGTTGTTGTGACGAGGAAGGAACCACCGTGGTACGTGGGACAAGATCAAGTGCTTATTCTTGGAGGAAGTCGTGTCCTTCCTGTTATTGTTGTCGTGGTGGTTGGAAAGCAGTAGTCGCTGAACGGTCCGAAAGAATGGCCGGATAATCTTGAGGTCGTAAAGTACATCGGTAGCCAGAATGGTGTCCAGAGTACTAGTAGGGGAATCACTGGTATGCTCCTCCTCCAGCCACGATGGTTGTGGTTGTATGGTATAGACAGAATCCTCGATTCCATTTTGTTGGCAATTCTGGCGGCACAATTCCAACGCTTGGGCATCATTGTCGAGAAAGAACATGTGCTGTGGCTGCATCAATTTCAACAAGGCAATTCCAGCCGTTCCCGTGCCACATCCAATTTCGGCAACCATGTTGTCTTGAAAGTAGTGGTCGTAAGAAAAAGGAAAAGTGTCTGTATAGGATGAATGTAGTGTATTGTTGTTGAACGATAACAATCCAATGGCAAGGGCATGCGCAAAATAGAGGGCTCCCATCCACACACAATGACCGGATCCATCGACTTGTGGAGAAGCCTCATTATCATAGTTGCAGACATCCAACAAACTCATTTGCGACGTGTCCACGGACTGAATCGTAATGGCAATACAGTGGTCTTTTTGATGTGGGTGATGGTAAAGTTGGATCCGACGAGACGAGTGCGGCGTGACGGAAAAGTTGGCTTCTTCCCAACTTTCTTCTTCTGCTCCTCCTCCTTCTGGACTACTATCATCGTCAGACTTTTCCTCTTGTGGAGCCATGGTGGTGGACACTTACTTTACTTGGAAGAAGGTTAACTTGTAGGCTCTGTCGAAAACAACGGGGCGGGTGGTGATGAATGAGAGGCGTGACGGGCAGTCTCATTTTTTTTCAGCAGTAAGGCTAAGGTTTTCTGTGTCGTGCCCCACCGCATCCACCATCATCCACCATGGCCACCTGTGACACTCGACATCGGGTCGATGCGACGGACTACTTCTCGCTCCGTTCTACCCTACCACCTGCATCCCTGTCTACTAGCTAGCTAGCTACTGGTAGCAGCCACCGGTAGACTTCAAGTTGGTGGCTGGTTGCCTCAAGCAACCGATCCTCTTTGACTACAGTAAAAAGACACAGCCAAAGATGAGAGTTCGCCTTCGAAATAATGATATACTAATAAGCAGTGGCTCTGAACGTTGTGAAATGACAATCACATTTGAACCCAGAGAAACTCCCCCGCCAAGGCACGGGCAGGAGACACACAGTTTTCTATTTGGACCGAATTCCACCCAGCAGCTTGATGATTATATGTCCCGGCGGCACAATAATGCATCTCCTGGATCACCACCGACCACCACACTACTCATACAGTTCAGGAGAGTCAGAGCAGGCTTCTTTGACGGAATAGACCAGGAACACTGGACCACTTTTTGTGATGGAATCCACAGTGCTCTGCCAGCAATCACCGCACTTAATTTTGGCGTCAGTATTGACTCTGGGCACTCTGGAGAAAAGGTTGATTGGTTCCTTTCCACATTGTTTAGTCACATGCCAACACAAACAATCACTGAAGTATCAATGAGCTTTTGGGGGGGGGGAGTTGGGTCAGTTCGTATTCCCAAAACTTGGGATGCCTTGCATCCACTAGTCCATGTCCAGGAAATGACTTTGATGATTCAACCAACTGTACAGGTGGAAACTAATGAATCATTGGCCAATGTGTTCACCATGTCATGGCCAAGGCTCACAAAGCTTGTCTTTCTAGCCGACATCAAGTTTGGTTTGCGTTGGGATCCTGTCATTGAAGCGGTCCGTACCAAAAGGACTCTACGCAATGTGGATGTATTGCGGTATGAAGAAACAGATGCATTGTCCACCATGTGCACATTTCCCTTCATCCATTCCATCATTCAGAGATATCACCTGGCATTGACAGAAGGCGAACCAGGCAACCCATCCACGGCACAACTACAGCCACCTACAGCTGAAAATCCAGCCAGCCTTGAGAACTGGTTGAATGCAATGGAACATTGCTTGCACGAGAGACACCGGTTTGACTGCTTTCACTATTTCTTCTCCCAAATAGATCCATTGCTGTACATCAGTGGGGAGTACTAGAAGCGTCTTTGTCGGGAGGCAGCGTCAAGAGCCGAAGAAGCCAACCGTTCTTCTTCTCGCAAATGGAATTGGTAGGAGGCCCAGCTAGCTAATTGCAATACCGATATTGTTGCTGTTGTTTACACCCCATTGGTATTGTCTCGGCTGGGTAACACAGGATGTCGAAACAGAGCCTCCATTGCCCCGACGCCACCTATGACCCGCCAGTTATGATCTCAATTATGATTCTCAGAAACTGAGAATCCGCCTTAATATTGATCTGAGATCATACCATCTACTCAATGGTGCTGCCAAGTATGTAGTTTTCGACCTCCTGGGATTTTCCTTGAACTAAAGAGTGATGAGGCCAAAGTACTTGAATAGCTGCCAAGAACAACACAAAGCCAAGAACTTTGGCCCTCGCGCTGGTCCTCAATTTATGGCCCCTGATCCCACGGAACCTAGCTAGCTACTAGAGGTCCAAATTTCGACTCGTCACTCTTCTTGCTGGCTTCTGTGGATAACTTCGGGGCTTTTTAATTTTGCGTATGCGTTTGCGCGACTATGCACTAGTCAGTACAAAACACGCAAACTTTATGACCAAAATTGTATTAAACTTAAACCAGCTAAAGAGTTATTACAAAATGATATAGTTACTTTGACTCCTTGGTGGACTTCTTTGTGGATGTTGTGTTTTAAATTTCACCAATAACTTGTACCATATATTTCTGTCGCCATTTTTTTGCAATCAGCTTTTGAAGATAAGTCTTTTGCATTTTCATTAAGCAACTTGCTTTGCAATGATATTGTTTGATATCATCGTATTTATGTGTTTGCTTTTTCTTATATCTGTGCCGCAAACAATAGTCATCCTTGCAAACAATGATCTCCTTGTATTTACAGACAGAGTAGTGTGTGATTGCAACCACCTGCTGATACAGAGAGACCCTTCAGGAGGCCCTAACTGGCTTTAGCACCTGGATTTATCTACAGCTGCTTTTAAAAGCTAAGCAATGCAGTTGTGTTGGAAACTGGGTGAAACTGTTGTTGCTGCAGGAGACATGTTGCCATTCAGTTGGTCAATGCATTGGAACCTTCACCATGTTTTGCTAAAATGCAAGGTAAAGTGTACCTTTAAATAAAAACACACTACCACGATTTTCTATCCTGCAAGGTAAAGTGTGCCGTTAAATAAAAACACACTACCACAACCAGCTTACCAGAGAAATGCACTGCGTCTTTAAATAAACACACTTGAACACACCAATTTACCTGTTGCAAAGAACCTGCCATTTAAATAAACACACCAAAACACACCAAGGAACACACCAAGGTACACACCAAGGTACACACCAAATTCGCAACAACGGATAACTTCCCTCAGCTGGGGGCTGCACTTCTGTATTTTGCAGCTTTGCTGGGTTTTGTTGAAACAAGATCCATTCGTCCACCATCGCGACCATGGCCACACAAACACACAACTGCATCAAACTTCTTTGTCTATTGGACTCCATTTGGTGGCTGCAAAGAGCCGTCTAGCTAGCTAGTTGCATGAGGTTTCTGCTGCATGTTCAGCACAAGAAAGGCTGGAAACGAAGCGGCTGGTGGCCACTGCGACGATTTATCCTTGCCATGTCTCTTCTTCTGGTGCTTAGCAAGAGAAGCCATGGCCTGAGGAATCGATGCACAGCGCCTGCCTTTACCACCAAACCGTCAGTTCCCTTTCGGAGAACATCAGGAAGGAGAGATTCATGGGTTAACGGGATGATCAGCAGCAGGACAAAGGGGAAAGCTTCGGCTTTTGTTTTCTCGTCCCCATCATCATTGCTTCTGCATCCTTCCTGCAGACAAGTCCATCCACCCTGTGGTACCAGTTGTTTCCTGTCCACGGCCACAACTAGTACTACGAACCAAGAAGTGTCAGTCAGTCAAGACGAGGATGAAGAAGATCTCCAAGAGATTTACCAAGAACTCCAATGGCTCAGTGCCGAAATTCGACGGCACGATGCGCTCTACTACAACAACAATGACAACGACAATCCACAAGAAGAAACATCACCGATTATTACAGACGAGGACTATGACGCCTTGGTACGACGAGAAGAAGACATTTGCAATGCCTATCCGGCACTGCTACTCCAATGGGAACGAGAAAGTGGACTGGGAAAACAAGCCACTCGTGTGGGAGGGCGAGTGGGAACAATATCACAAATGCAGCAACAACCATCATCCTTCCAGAGGTTTCAGAAGAAACGGAACCACTTGACTCCCATGTTGTCCTTGGACAATGTCACTACCCAAGACCAACTCAAGGCCTGGTTGGAACGACTGCGAAAACGAATACTGGCGGCTAATAACAGCCAACATCCTGCACCCGTTACCATTCTGACCGAACCCAAATTGGATGGACTCAGTCTGTCTCTGCGATACACGCTCCAAAAAGATAGCACCACCACCAACAATCCACAGTATCAATTGGAGTGGGCATGTACACGGGGAGATGGGAAAAAGGGACAAGACGTCACGGCGCCCGTCGTGGAAGGACTCAAGTTGCCAACTGTACTGGCTCTCATCAGCACCGTGAAGGATAAGGCATTTACAAGTCTTCCCGATACCTTGGAGGTTCGAGGGGAAGTGGTCATGCCAAAATCAACCTTTCAACAGTTAAAGGAAGATGCACTTCATGCGGAAGAAGAAATAGCAGCATCCGCCAACCATAATTCCACCAACAACCAAACAACGGCTATACAGAAATTCTCCAATGCACGCAATGCTGCTTCGGGGATACTTTTGCGAAAGGAGGAAGAAGTAATGGGCAACAGCACTAGCAGCACTTCTTCTCCACTGGCAACACACAACAACAACACGCGTGCACTGCAATCCAAACTTGTATTCTATGCCTATGATATAGCAGCACAAGACAATCCAGAAGATATCGAATGGATGCAAGACGCCTTGGCAACTCGACAGCAGCTAGAAGCATGGGGGTTTCGAGTGCCATTGCCAATGGCTGTTACTACCTTGGATTGGAAGCCGTTGCAGGGGTCAGATGGCGGCAATGTTACTGCTGAAGCAGCACAGAACAACACTACTGGTGATGATACCTTAGGTTTTGAAGAGTGGACAGATCAAAACATTTTACCAATGACAGAGTATCATGATGGCTTTGGACGATACCGACAATCCTTGGCCGCAACCACCACAAAAGCAGCAGACGAGGCAGCAGCAGACGACGACAAGTACCAGTGGGGCGACTATGATATGGATGGATGCGTCCACAAAGTCTCCCACCAATCTCTACGGCATGTGATTGGGAACTCCAACAGAGCCCCTCGATGGGCCGTGGCGCACAAGTTTCCAGCCCAGAGTGCCATTACCAAACTTGTAGGCATCGAAGTACAAGTCGGCAGAAAGACAGGAGCACTGACGCCAGTGGCCATCTTGGAGCCAATCGAGCTGGAAGGAGGAGTCACTGTCACACGGGCCACGCTGCACAACTTTCAACATTTGCAGCAAATGCTCCTGGGATCTCGTCAGTGTACGGACATTGACGGTGATGGAGAAATGACAAACACAACCAGCGACAGGGTGAATGTCAACCTCTTTCTTGCCACTGGGAGCAAGGTGTTGGTGCGGCGTGCGGGGGATGTGATACCTCAGGTGGTGCAGTTGGCTGAACCGCCCAAGTTGGCTACCGCTGACATGATGGCAAACAATAACTCATCCTCGTGGATTGATCTGTCTGCCCCTCTTCATTGTCCTGCTTGCGGCTCGCCAACAATAGCAGATGCTCCAACCAGTAGAGCCGAAACTGGGGGACAAGTGGTTCGATGTGGAGGGCCTCAGTTGCTTTGTGCTCCGAGGGCAGTGGGTGCTCTCGTTCACGCATTCTCGAGAGATGCTTTGGACGTTTCGGGGTTGTCAGAGGCACGAATTCAACAATTGTCAATGCTGAATAGCTCAAAGTCAGACGAGGGGACGGCCAATGATACGACACTAGCAATGAATGCATCCTTGGTCAAACTTCAGTTCCCAAGTGACATTTTCAAGATCGCCCAAAACCCGGAGGCGGTGGAGGTAATTGCTAATCTTCCGGGCTGGGGACCCAAATCAGCTCAGAATTTGGCCAACGCTGCAAACCAGGTTGCCCGCAACGGTGTGTCACTGGCACGTTTCATTTATTCACTTGCCATTCGATACGCGGGGGTTCATTCGTCAAAGATAGTTGCAACAGCCTACGGCAATGTAGACGCTTTTCTTCAAGCCATGGACGAGGCATCGGAATCAAGCGTCGACACAGCTGATGCAGGCAATCAACCATTTGCCATCCTAGCCGACAAAAGCAACACGGTGAACAAAGGAATTGGTCCATCCTTGCTATCATCTTTGGTCGAATTCTCACGGGAACCGGAGCTTGTCGCGGCTGCGAAAGAACTCGCCAGTGTTATCAAAGTGCACGACGATGAAGACTTTAGTGATGCTGGGATTCTTTCGACCAAATCTTCCGACGATAGCGATGCGACAAAACCCTTGCAGGGGTTGAAAGTAGTGTTTACGGGATCGCTGGGGAGCGCGAATCTCACACGAAAGGAGGCACAAGCGTTGGCCATGTCCATGGGTGCAAAGAGTACGCCGGGTACTATCTCCAAGGCAACTGATCTTGTTGTGGTTGGTGAGAAAGCCGGGGGCAAGAAGTTAGAAAGCGCCAGAAACCTTGGCATCAGAATAATCGATTTGAAGCAATTCATGTCGCTAGCAAGGGATAATCAGTAATGTAATTAGTCTCTGCCTCGTTCGGGCTTCTCAGGGTCAACCAGGCCGCATGAGGAAGGCGACTCCGCGGAGACTACCAGAGCTTGAATGCATTGGTTCAAGAGAACATGTATAATCAATCAAATATTTTGAGCTTCGCAAGCATTATTGTTTAGGCGATTCTATTCATTGAAATTCACGTTGGCAAGTTCTTCGTATTCATCAAGGGGAAGACAAAGTGACTTGCGTAGCACCTGGCTTTTGCTCTTCGCGATGGGTCTGAAGACGGCGGCTTCGCGCACTGCCTTGTTGAAAGTCTTGCTACGCCGCATTGTGACAACAAAGCAACCAAGAGTCAATACAAAGGTTGCCAATGCAACTCCAACGACCATCAGCCATGTAAACACTGGATTCAGTTCCTTGCCGAAGTATTCATCATCATCGCCAAACGTCCAGGCCTCGTCATCATCCGTGGGCACCACATCTTTGACCGTCAGGATGCCGACACCGCCAAAATCGCAGGTAGCCCCCTCGTGTCTGTGCGTTTGCCAAAAGTCATCTATTGCCTCATCTGCAGCCTCGTAAAGTGCATCGCCAGTCAGGGTAGCTGTTTCATTTGCCTTGTCCTCCAAGTCCTCCACTCCGTAGATGTAATTCAGAGCATTGCGGACGTTTTCTTCCGGTGCGCGTCTATTGGCTTTGCATCGAATCTCGCTACTGTCCTCCCTGTCACAAGCAGAAATGACAGCCTCATCATTTAGGTTTCCCTTTGGAATCATGCCAAGTTCCAGGGCAAGCATGTAAGACCATTTCGGCTCATACAGATCAGTACGGAAATTCCAAAAATAGAATCCGTGGCCAATCCCCGAGAAGGCATTGATCTTCTTGTGAGCTAGGTTCCTCATCACGTTCAATGTATCGTCATATTTAGGAGGCGCGTCCGGAGGGGCTCGCACCCAGTCCCTTCCAGTGATAGGGTTTCCAGAGGATTCTTTCAGCCAGTCCCTTCCCACTGGGCAATATCCATACTGTGGAGATGGTACCAGAATCAGACCGTTGGAAAGGTTGGATATTGGTGATGAAATCGATAGCACGAACAAAGAAAGGAATACTTACGATTGGACCACTCATTCCGGTTCCAAAGGGACCTTGAATAGGTTTTGTGGGGTCCACGGGAGTACCAGGTTGGTCGGTACCCATGTAAGGAGCCGAGCAGGGAATGTATTTGCATGGCAACCTGGAAAAGCAAAGATTCCAACAAACCGTGAGGATCAAGGTACAAATGATATCTTTCGGGGCTCTTTTTCAAAACGCACATTGGGAATCCTGGGAGATTGTCGTTGAAACCGTTGAGCCACATGGCGCAATTGTCTGTTGCTAAACTCCATTCACCGACAATGGTCGGCCCAAACTCCCTTTCCATCGTGGCAATGATTCCCTTTTGATTGCAGGCATCTTGATAGAAACCAATGCGCGAATCAGGCGCTCTCCATGCCTGATAAATGTGAGTCTGACGATGCACGGAGTCCAAAGAAAAGGAAAGAACACTGGAGATGAGGGGAAGAGCAAGATTTGGCCAACAAGTAAGTTGACATTGCAGGTTGGAAATGCACGTACGTCCAATGCGCGTTCAGGGCACCCTGCCATGAAGCCACCCCAGATATTGGGATCCAGCCGGAAGCTATCATGCATGATGTATTTCCAAAAAGGTGCTTTCCTCTTGACAATCAAATATCCTTCCCAATAGAAACGCTTGAGCTCTTTAATGGGTGTGTATTGCCAAGGTTCATTTACCGGTTCCAGTCCAAGCACAGCAGGGTGTCCCTGGTACATGTCCACAATGATATCAATCACGTCAAGGGCATGCTGGATGTTATCGTAGTTGATGCTGGAGTATGAAACGGTTTTGCTATCGAAGGTTCCGATCCACTCAGCCGAGCGAATGGGCCAGTGCTGGAAGGTGACAATGTTAGCGATATCCGAGTTGATTGCGCTTGTCCATTCCAGTCCCATGCCTTGCCCCGAGTTGTCAAATCCATTTTGACTATCCTTGAGAGCATGAATGTCGATTAGCACAGTGATGCCTCGGGAATAGCACCAATCCAACAACTTGTCAACATATTCGAGAGCTCCATCCACGCATCCATCTGGCAAATGCAAGGCAAGGCAAAATTAGAGGTACGAAATGAGACGAACAAGCCAAGAACCGGTCCGTCCTTGTTGTCGAGACTTACGGTAAGGTCCATACGGTTTGTACATGAAATCTCCCACGGGAAGACGAAGTGAGTTCACAGCTCCAGTTTGATACATTTCTGAAAATTACAAAAACGGAGAGATTAGGGGCGGCCAAAGGTTAGATGGCGCATCCAAGTAAAGAAGTCGCCTGATTGTAAATGTAGACTCACCTTCGATGATATCTTCGGTTACCCATGTTTCCCAGTGACGACGTAGCTGTTTGTTCCCTTCCTCGGGGCCCAGGACCTTACAAAATGTGTAGCTATCAAAGGCAGTTGTAGTTTCGTTTCCACCGAGAAACTGGTAGAACATGGAAGGAGTAATCCAGGGTTCCAAAACCATCCAGCCTCCCAGATTGGTTCCTCGGATTTGGTTGTTGAAGGGAGTCGAGTGTTCATCTGCCGTGCAAGTCATGCTCTTGTTGTGGGCAATGAAATGACGAAAAGGGGTAGAATCTTCTGTGTCATCCTCGTCGTCGTCTTTTTTTTCAACTTTCGTGGTGGGAGGGATATCCAATCAATAAAGTCTGATGATGGATCACTTTGGGCCATTTTCCCATCAGTATCAAGTAGAATGGTGCCATCGACGCCTGCTTCCACTTCGGCAGCTTCTACCGACTGGCAGATCACTGCCAAAATAGATCCAACATAGCCAAGAGCTGAAACAACCCTCATCTTTTTCAATTTATGGGAGATTCAATTCACCAACTCCCTTCCTTTCAGCCGCGAAAGTTATTTTTTCTGAGTCGATAACGCGTGAGCAGGTTGCTCAGGCCAAGAAGCTCTTCTTTCCTGAATAAAATGCACCTTCTGCAGCTTCGACTGCGAAGATTCGATTCGATTCGATGCGTGGGATCGGTGATTGTGGTTGTAGTCTACTACATGAGTAGTCTAGTTGGTGCCGTGTGCCAGTTCAAGCTGACATGACACCGAATGGATCTTTGGTGCTCAAGTAAGGATCTAATAGTCGATTGAGTCGAATCGAATCGTACCAGGGTACCGTACTGTACCGGTTATTTATTAGATGGATCTTTGGCATCTTTAGTCAATTGAGTCGACTGACTCACACATCTCATGTTTGTTTTCTTGCTTGGAGAAACTTCAGAAATTCGACCAGCTACCGGGATGCGAGTTGGCAGATCAATCAGTGAACTGGGCCAGGTTGGCTCTGATAACCCAGACTGTGCGATCTTCAGCCATCACAATAAAAATCCTTGTCATTTGCAGGGAACCCACTGCTGCCCGGTAATTGATGAAGTGTGCATCGTCAATTTTCAACGTGGTCCCTCCAACAGTGCACAGCAGTACTGTACTCTTCCGACCCCAGCAGCAATGGCAGCCACATCTGTCTGGACTAACTCACACCTTTGGTCCCTCAAGCTTTGATTCGAAACATTCCTAGTAGTCGACTCGACTCGACTCGACTCGTCGGCTGTTTGACCGCCATCGTTTCGGCTTGATGGACGCTCGGCCGCTCACAGTAACAACATGCATCGACCAGACAATTGGTATCGACCGACCTAACTAAGTATACGAAGTGGTTACTATGCTTTGCCTGGACGTTTTGAGCACTCGACGCACTGCACGTACAGACCTTCTCGACCATACCGGTATGAAACGCTGCTCGCTTTCTGCGTTTCCCGAGTAACGCACCTCGTCGACAGCGTTTCGAAAAAGCTCCATCCGACAAACTAGAAAGCAACACGAAGATGCCATTTCGAGGCTCACAAACCGACAATCACTACTTTTATAACCTTTAGGAGACTGTAGATACAATGGTCAAGATTCTCATTGACTCGTCCAATTCTAATCATATGATCCCCACTCGATCGGAGCGATGGCAGGACTTTCACCAGCGCTACCATTCCGATCGCTTTCATCATTCGGCAGCCAATGACGAGTTCATGAGGCGCAACCGAAATCATGCGCGAGGATACTCCCAAAGAGGCAGCTTTCGATCCCCAATCGGAAGTTTTCTGCGAGTATTTCGAACCAGCTCCAAGTAAATAATATTCCGCACAGCGAGTGGTCAGCCAAGGCTGGCTCCAAGCAGCAACACGATGAGCTGCTTCCTGTAGATTATCATCAAGAGGGTAAACAATACTAGAGCATAGATACGGTACCACTTTCCCATGACTTCTGCTCATTCTGGCTATACTCTTGTACCTACCGTACCGCGTAGCACCAGATACAGACTTAAAGACCGATGCTGTATTCGTAGATTACGAGTATGCAAGACTCGTACTGTGAATTGTTCCGTCCAATAAATCTTTTTCTTAGCACGTTCCAACTGTGCGTAAATTTCGAAACAGAAGAAAACCTGGCAGATCGCCCAAAATGGCGATGCGAACAGGCAGCTGGCCAAACCTGCAGGGATGCCAATAGTTGGATACGGCTTGGCTGCTTTGAAATTTGAACGAGGTTTTTCACCGCGATTGCAATTTATTTGCAAAGATCCTCCTGGCAATATTCAACCAAATCAAGATAAAGCAAGACAACGATGCTTCTCCTCCGCAGTTGCCTCTGGGCAACTCTGCTTTATGTAGCCAAGGGTACTAGTAGCCCGTGGCAAGGTGGACTGCGACAAGGGAGTTCTGCAAAGGATGCTGCAGACCAACAACGAGACCTGGCAGGAGAGGTTCCCACTCCACCGCCGTTTGACGAGGAAGATGAAGAAGAGTGCTGGGATGCGGAGGTGAACTATGCCTTTTTTGGAGCCATGACGGACTCAAGAAACCGTGTTTTCGAATGCTTGGGTGGAATCATTCAACCTTGTGAACCGATTCCAATTTGGCAGGCAGATCTGGAAAGTGTTGGGTTGGAAGCGGCAGGTGTGGCACAACAATTGGAATGGGCAGCTGAATACCTCACGGATGTTGATCCTGCAAAAGACTTGTTTATGCTGTGGGCGGGTGGTATGTGGGGAATGTAAACCGTGTTGTGGAGTGACCATTTTGTTCGTGGATCTAATCATTGCAAAACTTTCTTTTCTACCCCTTTCCTGGATTCATTCAGGCAACGACTATCTGGGACCGTATCCTGGATGGACTCCAGGCAACGATCCCCCCGAATATGGAGAACCATTTCCTCCAGACTTTCCGCCTGAATTCGCACCTGTGACGGCAGCTTACACAACTCAAAACATGGCAACTGCGCTGGATCGAGCCTACTACGATATGGATGCGAGAATCTTTTTAATGGGCAACTTCTTGAACCCATGCTGGACGGTGGTTTGTACCAAATTTGAAGCCGTTGATGCTTTTATACCCGGTTTTTCTACGGGGTTGAAATTGTATGCCGACGTCTGGACTGACCAGTTCAACCGAGGTATGCAAACTGTTGTGGATGACTTTCTGGCCATCCACACAGACGCGACAATCATGTTTATGGATTTCTACTCCAAGTTCGACGAGCTTTTGCAATCGGGAGATTTTATTGCCAATCTCACTTGTAAAGATGCCATCGCCCTGGGCGTGGCTGATATTGATGGCCCTGACATGAACGGGCATTACAACTGCAGTGATTTTGCCTGGACTAATGATTTTCACCCAACATCCACATTTTGGGGGAGAATTGTGGATGAATCGCTCATCCCCATCATTGATGAAACCCTCGAGCCCGAAACAGACATCCGCCGTATCGTAGTTATTGGTGACTCCTTCACTGACAAGGGCACCTTTCAAGACACGGCACGCCGTGCCAATGAAACATGGGCGGCGACCTGGAACGGTCCTCCTGCCAATGGAGAGGCCGCCTTTGATGGCTACAGTTTGATCGACTTGATGGAACAAGCAATGGGTCTAGAGCCCTCTGTCCCGTTCATTCAGCGCTCAACTTTGGATGACGCAGTGCCTCCACCGCCGAAACAAGCTTGTCGCCCAAAATATGACTGAGCAGCCATTGGTGGTTCTTGGGATTTGGTAAAGGCATTTGTTAGACATCACAGCTCCTTTGCCATGTGGTTTCAAATATATATGATGCAGTGCAGGTAGCTACGAGTGATATTAAATTACAGTCGATTGCTTATGAGTATGTGCGCAGGTCCAAGTCACTTTTTTGATTTTTGGGGCAAGCATTGCCTCCGACTTAGGCGTTTTCACGCAAGACACTGACAGCACTCTAACCATTCAGGACTGCCAGGAGAACCAGAAACGACCAGACGAATGAGTTATGTGTCCGACAAACCAGAATCAAACCAAAACCAAAACCATGGTGGGGTGGCCCAGGTTGTCACACTGGCTACGATTTGCGGCACTTGGCTCCCGAAAGCTTCAAACTGGTCAATCCCTTCTCCTCGTCGTAATCAGCCAAGTTGAGACTGAGGATGCGTGTGACACCCAACTTTTCAGATATTTCCTTGGCAAAACCTTCGGCTTCATACCTCACACCTCGCAGCCACCGCCGTAGTAGTCTTCAGCGACACAAGACTGGGACCCAGCCATATCACGTCCAATGCGCAGATGATGTTTCATGGCTTCACTGAGTCCAGCCATGTGCATGAGTAGGGAAGGTATTGCCATTCCACACGGTGGATTGGCGGTTTCTTCCTCTTACGATTTGTCAGAGAACACAGCTTCGCTGCCATGTGGTTCCAACTATTTCTGATGCAGTGCAGGCAGTGCAGGTAGCTAAGAGTGATTTTAAATTACAGTCGATTGCTTATGAGTACGTGCGCAGGTCCAAGTCACTTTTTGAAATTTTGGGGGCAAGCATTGCCTCCGACTTAGGCGTTTTCGCGCAAGACACTGACAACACTCTTGAATGCAAACCATTCAGGACTGTGATGAGAATCAGAAATGAGTACAACGGGTGAGATGTGAATAACAAATCAGAATCAGACCAAAACCATGGTGGGACGGCCCAGGTTGTCGCAGTGGCTACCATTGTGCTACTGGTTGGACTTACATGTCTTCTCCCCCTCGGAGCATCTTGCGGAACTTGGTTCCCGAAAGCTTCAAACTGGTCAATCCCTTCTCCTCGGCGTAGTCAGCAGTGGTGTATCCCTCTTGCTCGGTGTAAACCAAGTTGAGACTGGGGACGGGTGTGACACCCAACTTTTCAGACAGTTCCTTGGCAAAGTCTTGGGCCTCGTAGGCACCGTAGTAATCTTCACCAGTGACAGAAGACTTGGATCCAGCCATGTCACGTCCAATGATAAAGTGAGTGCATCCAAAGTTCTTTCGGATGATCATGTGTTGGATGGCTTCGCGGGGTCCAGCCATGTGCATGGAGTATGGAAGGTATTGCCATTCCACACGGGGGTTGGCGGTTTCTTCCTTCAAGACTTCGTAGGTCTTGTATCGGACAGTTCCTGGGATATCATCGGCTTGGGTGGGTCCGCAAGTTGGGTGGACAAGAACAATTCCGCCCTCGCCGACAAGGGGATCATCCAAGGCACGGGTAAAAAGTTCGTAGTGGGCACGGTGGACGGGGTTACGGCATTGGAAGGCAACAACATCCTTGTCATCAGGAAGAGAAGCACGGACTTCGGCGGGGGTTTTGCACGGGAATTCACGAACGGGGAAGTTGAGGCCAGTGACCTTTCCTCCCATGTAGTACTTTCCACGTTCTGTGGCCACCATCAAGGCACCAGGGTGCTCGATTTCGCTGGTTCCATAGCACTTCAAGCATTCGTATGGTTTGTTGGGGGTGTATTTGTCGGTAAGCTCGACGGTGGCAATGGGGAGATCTCCCTGTTTCAGGAGAATGGTTGTTCCAGGCTGAAGATCTTCATCATCAGTATCAAAAACCACGGGAAGGCCCATAATTGTTCCATCAGGGAGGGCAACATTGTCTACAACAGATTGGTAGTCAGCTTCTTCCATGAATCCTGTCAAAGGGGAGAATCCTCCATTCATGATAAGTTCCATATCGCACAATTGACGTTCGGTAGCCTGAAGCTCAACAGTGGCCTTGGCAATGGCAGCCTCCTTTTCTTCGTCAGATTTGACCATCTGGTCGACCAATGTTCCTCCATGTGGGACCTGCTTGACCATGTTCAGGGCACTAAAATCAATTAAAATCAATAATAATAAAAAGAATTCGAGGTTAGTGCAAAAATAAAGGGCGAGCCAAAATGCCAATGATCCAAAATTATTTGGTACTCACGTCTCGGCGGCGACATGGGTGAAAGCAGGGGTTGCGACACGAGAGGCGGTAGCAACATCCCTGGTGCTCAAAGAGGCGGGAGCAAAGGCAGATGCCGAAGCAAGAGCAAGGAAAGAAACAATAAATTTCATTGTATCAGTCAAAGAAAATTATGGATAGACCTTCAAAGAGTGAAGAAAAATGCTGTGAAGAAGGTTAGGCAACGATAGGAAGATTCTCCCCTGTAGGTAGATACGTACCACCGCACCACCTGGATTTCAACGAGAGGTCGCAATGTGTTTGATGGGCACATGCCAATGCGTGGTGGTATGTGACGGAACAGCAAGACCGTGGTTAGATATTTTAGTGGCGGGAAGTCAAAGAGGTATCTTTTGTGCGAAGTGCGAAGGGTCGAATGAAGTGGGTACGTACGACAATGACGCGTCTTGGAGAAAGCGCGTCATTTGATTGGTCAATTTAGACCCGAACAAAGGCAATTTCGACCGCTCAGGACTCAATATACCCTGTGCTCTAATGATGAGCCACATGCTAAATAAGAGGCACTGGCGGGCTACTGTGCTAGCTAGATACCGGTAGCATGGAGCATTCCAGTTCACCTCCAAGGTGTGCGCCTTAAGGTTGCAGAATTTTGCTACCAAGGTGGGCGCCCTAGGAGGTGCAGTTGTTTTTGCAGCCAAGGTGCGTGCAGTGCTGTTAAGGTGCAGAGTTTTGCCACCGAGGTACGTGCCCTAGAGGTAAGAGTTTTTGCCACCGAGGTTCGCGCCCTGGAGGTGCAGATTTTCTGCCCCCCAGGTGCACAGTATGGCTGTACGATGTAGAGGTACAGTTGTGTTTGCAGCCAACATGTGCTCCCTAGAGGTGCAAATGTTTGCCGCCAAGGTGCGAAGGTGCGTGCAGCAGGGGTACCTGGTACCGGTACCAGCACGGAGATCACCCAAAGACAACCATTTCCAACAATGCTATTTTTAATAGTACCCGGTAGTTCTTTACTAGGTTGCTTCAAGGTATGCAATAGTGTACTTGAAAGCCAATTCCTCCTACTAGAAGAGGGTGAGTGATCAGAGGAGACACCACTGTCCTTGAAATATAATATCCATTAAAAAAAAAACGCTACTAGTAGCTACAGCCAAGAACTTCCCAGGTTTTTACTTAGCACTATCTAAAGAGTTACTTTTGGACTTCCAAATCTCCGTAATCATAGGATAGCAGAGAAGCACAACCCAAAGAGGCAGGCATTCCATTACGGTAGATAGCATACTGTATTCCTTTCTTCCTTCACTGCTTCCAGGGCATGACAAATCGCTTGAGATACAAGTACATGAATGGTGCTGCAACGAGTTGACAATCGAGTCGATCAATAATGCCGCCATGACCGGGAATAAAACTGGAAAAGTCTTTTTTGCCATGTGCTCGTTTGACAATGGACGCCAAGAATCCACCAAAGGGCGCCACCAAGGAACAAAATGCGGCAATGACGAGTGGATGCACCACACTGCGATCGCCTCCTGCAATGATTTCGAGCCCCATGGCACGCCAGAGATAAACACTGATGGCCATGGTCGACAGTAGTGCCCCGATAAAGCCTTCCCATGTTTTCTTGGGGGAGATACTGGGTAAGAGCGGGTGTTTTCCAAAACAAACTCCCGCAATGTAGGCCATAATGTCATTGATAATGACGAGATACAGCGAGTAGAGGGCATAACTCATGCCAAAATCTTGAATGGTGGCAATCCAAAAGGACGATGGTACCACCACCAGCGCGATTGCCAAATGATAGAGTGCCATTTCCTGGAGTGCGCCTTGGAATTCGTAGGAGAATGCCATGGAATTGTTCAAGTTGATGACAAAGCTGACCAGTCCAAACGCCACAAGAGCAAAGGAACAGAGGTAGATGGAGGATGCCGATAAGAGTGGACTTCCGTCTCGTTTTCGTTCGAGCAATCGTGGCCCGACCAATGCGAGATCGTAGGCGACAAACCACAACCATTTGATGGATGAAATGCCCTTTTCTTTGAGTTCCTTATTGGAGAGAACCACATTGGTGCCTTCTTGGTAGAGTCGGAATTGGAGAAACCAGACAAGAACAATCAAGCCGGGTTCTCGAAAGGTATCCAACCAGAAAACCAGTCCACCAAACATGACTGCCGCCGACAGAGCTCGCTCCTTGAGACTGGATAATCGTTTCTTCCTGTCACTCTCGGATTCCGTGGATTGTTGGGAACTCGTCCTGTGTCCTTCTAAACTCAAGATGGATTCTTCGCGACCAGGAGAAAGAGTGGCTTGGGGCAGTGTTCTTACTGGCGGTTGCAGTGCAGATGATCCAGCAGCACTCAAGGGAGAAGGGGCATTATCGGCATGAGCTGCCGTTTTCATACAACCGAGGCAGAGTATCAGGAAGCCGAGATTCTTCATTATCAAGCAATGCCGTCGGGTTCTTCGTTGTAAAGGTATCATTGGTGTAATAGATCTGTAGAGCTTGCTTTGGACCAGAGTGGTTTTTATATTCCTGCTATGCTTCGGTGTCTTTGTCTCTTGTTCCTGACCTTGCCTTCGTGCATCGGTGCTTCTAAAATTGTTGTCATGCATTTTGGTCGCCAAGGATCCTCGCCAAAGATCCAACGGTTTTAGTCACGAACCCCAGTTTGCCCCGGACTCGACTCGACTCACTCGAACAGCTGTCGGCAGCATTTGCCTCTCATTTTTCTTGTTGCCCTCTGTCTTTTACTTTTACGACCATGGTGATGGATGTAGAGGAACTTCCTGCCAATACCATTGGTGTGATGGTCCACAAGCAGTATGTGGATCGGGTCAAAAATTATCTGTTGCTACCCGCAGACTACAAGATTCCATGGCAAGTGCTAGAGCATACCACGGCATGTACCCCTGCCACCAAGAAACCCAAGACCGAACCTCCGAATACACCATGTACCATTAGTAGTCAGGATGCCATTAATAAAAATGCCATTCTCTTAGATACCACCGAGACGGAAGGAATGAGTCATGATCGACAAGGACATCAAATCTTGTGTTGCAAAGACACCGTCAGACCCATCCATCTCATATCACCACTGGCAAGACAGAACATGGCGTGGGCTGTCAAGTTGTCGCACCAGGGCAGAAGTACTACAGGTACTGCGAACATCACCCAAAGCATGGTCGAGACTCTGCCAGACATGCCTCTGGTTGGTAACTCGCTCAAGCAGGCGCTCCGGGTCGATATCTATCCCAAGAGCTTTACGGAAGAAATTTGTCTGGGATTGCAAAGGGCTTGTCATGCCCAATTATTAACTACAGATACAGATCATCCCGTCCCAGACAGTCCATTTGACGGTCCCGTGGCCATGACGCGATCGGCATCCAAATGCTCTCATCGGCTGGCAATAATCATCATCCATCAGATAAATGGTGATAACAACGGTAGCACCACGACAACAACTCACGACGTCTACTGGGGATGGATGGATCGAACACAACAAGACCACGCATCGATTATGGATATCAAACTCAATGAATTTGCCAGGCATGAACTACTCCATGTGGCACCGGATCACGTCACGGGCAAGGAAGTTCAGGGACGAACCGTGCCGGTGGAAACTCCCTTGTCTCGTGCATACTACAAACTCGATCAAGTTTGGAACCAAGTATTATTATCACAACAACAAGATACCCTGTCAAAGATTAAGCAAGCATCTGCTGTGGATTTTGGGTCGGCACCGGGAGGATGGACCCAAGTATTGGCATTCCAGGACTTGTTTCGAACCGTTTGTTCGGTCGACAAGGGTAAGGTGGCGGACCGCATTTCGCAGCACCCCAAGGTCCAATACATTCCAAGTCTGGTGGAAGATTGCCAAGCCTTGGTGGAATCACAGGGGCCCTTTGGAATGGTGGTATGCGATGCTTCCTTGCTCTGGAATGAGGCACTGGACCTCTTTGAAAAGGTCATTGTCCGCAAGTCATCGTCATCGGAAAGCGACAATCTGACGGCCCCAAAATTCACGCTGCCGTGCATCTTTGTGATTACCCTCAAACTTCCATTCCAGACACTACAAAGCATTCGACGACATATTGATATGATACATCAGCGATTGCCGGAATGTCTTGCCAGCATGGCAGCCACCATGTATGACTGCAGCAATCCACCAATTCAATCACGACACTATCTTCTTCACCTCATGGCCAACTCCACGTCCGAACGAACCTTGATTGTTGTATTCGAGGAGAAACCCGGTGGTACCGCCTAATGATGCACACTACACTGCATTACTCCATTACAGCAGCGGCTACAACAGCCAAAAACGACTGCCCAATTCATTCAACGCCGATGGTTCCCCGACCTCTCTTCTTCCACTTCTTCATGACAGCACACAATCAAGCTGCAGTCGACTTTGAAGTTGATTGTGGGACGTTTCAGGGCTCACAACGACCGGGGTATCTGGCCGGTCACGTAGTTTCCATCCAGCCCCAAATTATGGAGTCCCGTCAGGGCGCCCCATGCTTCCGGAATGGCGCCACTCATGTCATTTTGATCCAGTCTCAGCCGACTCATCTGCAGCAGCAGACCCATTTCGGATGGGAGACTCCCCGTGAGACCGTTGGCCTGGGAACTCCAGGTTAGGAGGTTGGTCAACAATCCAATCGTTGTGGGAAGGTTTCCAGTAATGACATTGTCATCCAACAACACGACTTCCAGATTTGACAGGAGACCCAAGTGGCTCGTTAATGTCCCTTGTAGGTTGTTGGATTCCATCGACAAGCTCGTCAAGGCGGACAGACCAAATAGTTCGGATGGAAGAGAACCACTCAGCCTGTTTTGAGCCCAAGTTCTCGTCCCCAGCCACCAATAATATCTACAGTGTAGAGAGCATGTATGTGGTGGCGGGGATCCAAAAAGTTAGTTGCTACTGTACAGGTGTACCGGTGGCAGCTCTGAACCGAAAGCTCTCCTTTGCCATCCTGGGATAGCAGTCGTGTGCGTTTTTGCGCTGTTGGTCAGGTTGTCGTGGCTAAAAACAACAAAACACAAGTCTATCATAAAGGAGTAGAGTTTGCGAAGGCAGATCTATGGCATATGAGACAGCTACTCTGGCAAATTAGATAATAGCTAGCCATCGTTGTCTCTGATATTTGAGACGCTGTCAGCTACATGTTATTAGAGGAGAGTCCAGTACCAACAGGAACAAATTATTTCACTGTGATTGCTACAAAGACCAGGATACCGGGATGCCAAAGCCAATACACCAACCAGCCTTACCATGATACAACAAGGTGAATTAGCTATGATTAGGATAAGGTTCTTTTAGAGTACCGGTAGGGATTGACCCACGAGAACAGGATCACTCGTATCCTTCTTCTGGTCGTCAGTCAAAAGTGGTTGCCTGAGCTCTTCTGCTGCATCATTATCACTTTTCTCTTCTGCCTTTGGCCAACAGCAACAAAAAATTAGAATGGCAACATTGATAGCAATATTGATAATCTCACGATAAGAGAAAACGTTGGAAAATCCAGTAAAGTAGATGCAACCCAGTGTCCCCAGTACAATATTGGCAATGACAAAGCCAATCAAGACGGCCCAATCTAGTGCCAAGGAGGAAGAATTAGTATTATCGTTGGCTTGTTGTTGTTGACTTGACGATCCGCTGCTGCTGCTCAATTTGGACATGATGTAGATACAAACCATCACGGTACAGGGAACGGCAATGGCTGCGACCAAGAACTCTGCCCCCACTTTTGTTGTCGAACTCTCCATCTGATCTGCCGCCAACACTGCGCCAAAGCAAAAGACATGGTAGCAGGCACCAATTACAATGCCAAGGACCATGGCCTTGTGGTTTGGTTTGCAACCATTGTTGTTGTTGTTGTTGGTCATGGTTGTTATTAATCGGGCGGAGGGATGCTGTTCCTTTTGGTTTGCGACTAAACTATCCTGCACCCTAATCGCGAAAATTTGCAAAGTGGGGGTCGGAAGGAATTCACGATCTCAATGCCTTGACTCTACTAAAAGCCAAAGAACTCGAGGCACAACACACTTTCTGCTCTCTGGCGCCTGTAAAGCCTCCTTGCCAAGAATAAAGGTACTGTACCTTCTTCGACCATGACATTGGATTCCCTGCAACAACAACAACCCCACCACGACCATGCTGTGAGCAATACTTCCAATACTAATAATGGCCTCCATACCACTATTACCAATGACAGCCACCCTCCATTGGTCCAAGACGTGGACGCCACAGTCATACCCCATCATGCTCACGCTCACCATGGTCCCCCCAAGACGACGGCGTGGGATGCTTGGATTCAACTGACCAAGGCATATATAGGACCGGGTTGTCTGTCGTTGCCATGGGCTATGAGTCAATTGGGGCTACCCGTCGGGACCTTGACCATTTTCATTGTGGCGTGGTGGACATCCTACAATTGTTGGAATGTCGTGGTATTGAAACGAACCATTATGAGGGAACAACGGGCAGCAGCAACAACAACCAGTAGAGAACAAGAAGACCATACCACACAACCACACCAAGTGACGTATCCCGACGTGGGAGAATGGGCGTACAATGCCAAATTCAAAGAGATTTTATTAGTCTCCATTTGCGTACAACAATTGGCCGTTTGTACCGTCTTTTTGAGTTTTATCGGAGAAAATATTGCCGCCGTCATGGAACGAACGCTTGCAGAGGAAGGAGAAAAGGGTCCCTCGCATGCCTTGGTCATTACCATGGCACTCCCCTTTGCCCTCCTGCTTAGCTTTCTACCCAATCTCAAAGTACTCAGTCCCGTCATGGTTGTCGCCTCCATTTCCCTCTTTGTTGGATTTGGATTACTGGGTGTCGTCGTGGCGGAAGAATGGGAACATCGACCTACTACTGATACAGATCATACCCATATCGAATGGTCCCAAGTACCCACGGCCGTCTGTGCCATTCTATACTCGTACGAAGGAATCTGTGTCATTCTTCCCGTCGAATCTGCCATGGCACAGCCGGATCGGTATTTTGGAACGGTGTTTGTCACTTCCATGACATTTACCGCCATGGTATTTGCTGCCGTGGCGTGTCTCTGTGTCGTTGCATTTGGAGATGTCACGGATGGATCCATTACGGCATTTTTGGTAGAAACACTACAGGATGATACCATGAAATGGTGGCTCTACATGGCCAATACGGCCTGCAGTGTCGCCGTATTGTTGACGTATCCACTACAACTATTTCCCAGTTTTGAATTGATGGGGCCGTGGATGACACGGGTGTTGCGGTTGGATATTGGGACGCATCATTCCTATCTTCTCCGAAGAGGAAGACGAATGGTACGGAGCTTTTCGCCCATTCCATCTTGCAATCCCGATGATCGGGCCGTTGTGGGCAATCATGAGTATCATGATCATGATCCGGTAGTGGCGGTAGTCAGTAGTAACAACAACCATGAGACAACAACCAGCAACAACAGTAATGACGAGGACTGTCTGAATGGAAATGGAAATGCTACAAATACTACCGTGACTGCCATGGAATTCAGTGGCGAGGCGGCGGCCGACGAGGAGTACTATACCGACGACATGAATCCATGTGCCGAGGCATATCCAACACCAGGAGATTCCCCACAACTACGCGCCATTTTGGTCATTTTCACATACATTTTGGCCATTGCCGTACCCAATGTCCAGCTCTTGGTATCCTTGGCAGGAGCATTGAGTGGATCGGCCACGGGGCTCATTTTCCCGCCGTTGTTGGTGCTGGCCCATGTCAAACGACAAGAACGGTCGCTTCGTTCCAGCATCATTACGGCCACCGAAAATGAGGAGGAGGATGACGATGGGGAGGATACAGTGACGACGGGAGCCACCAGCATGCAACAGCAATCATCCTACAATGACAGCAACAACATGCCTTCTCTGGCATCGTTGCAATGGAAAAAGCTGGAATGTTACGTCTTGTTTGCTCTGGGAGTCCTCGTTTGTGTCTTTGGCACCTTTGCGGCGCTCGATGATATCGTCCGAGTTTATCTGGGAGAGGGGGATACCGGTAGCTAAACATATTATCGATACGCCGCACCCGGTCGCCAATGGAGGTTGCGACTTCTCACAATCTTTAGACTGTGCACGTATGGAATTGAGGCCGGGCGGCCAAAAAAGTGAGCCGAATTCACCCTGCACTAAAAATTACTATGGCTAAAAAAAGTGTTACCGACTACTTTTTTGGGCATCCCATGGGTACAGACGAGACGATGGCGACCAGCGGTAACACTTTTTTTGCTTGACAGCGACGATGTTGACCATGGTGTCGGGAATTATTTTATTACGCGGTGTTTCTTGTTGGTGTTATCTTGTTGTCACGCTGTAATGCACCGTGGTTGGAGGCCGCAGTTGGAGGCTTTCGAATGATCCACCGGACTCGACGACTCGACGCGACGACGGTAACAAAGATCGACAGCCTCGACACCAGTAGTAGTAGTAGTAGTAGTAGCAGTAGTAGTAGCAGCAGCAGCAGTAGTAGTAGCAGCGGCAGGATCGATCGTCGACACCATCGTCAACAACAACAACAACAAAGCGGCATGTTCTCCGGAGCCGCATGTACTAGCTAGCTAGGGTTAAGTTTAGCTTAAAATTCGTCCAACCAGTAAAATATGGCCGTTCGCGCCAAAATTCCTCAGCTTGG